AGTCTACCAGCTTTTTATACTGTCACGGGCAAGGAGGAAAAGAGGCCTTTCATTACTGCATTATGTTTTCTCAGATAAGACACATAGCATAAAGAAACATTCAAGCCCTAAAAGCTCTTAGATGTCTGTGCTGGCAATTTAGTTGAGAACATCTGACACAAAATGCAGATGTTTCAACCTGCACTCCTGAGGAAGCCACGTTAACAGCTCCTTCCCAGACCCACTCCCATCTCCCCCCTCCTTACTCCTGTCAACCTTGTAAGACCACAGAGATGTTACTATGGGACAGCTTCCAAGGCCACAGGCTTCTTTAAGTGACAATGTGCTGTCCAGACGCAGTTATTCTCCATGGTTGTTGGGGAGATCAATGGCAAACAATTCCATTTCTCTCCTTTCTCTCTTGATTATGCTCTTTCAAGCTGGTTAAAGAGAAGAAGATTCAGTGATCGAGCAGCAGGCATAATTTATGAGTAGTCAGTCTACAGACTAGTATTTGATTGCATAAACATTCATGCAATTATTTTTCACTAATCCATAACATTAAAGATACATTTATAATGCATTTGTCAGTGGAACTATTTGTGATTAACGGTTCACCTAGCTCTATTTCGATCTGCTGGTGGTAGCCCTTTTGATTTGTTCAGGTCATGTTTAATCTCACGATCCAAGAGGTTCAACAGGTGCTTGCAGTTCTCAGAGCTATCATACACATCACAAAGAAGGGCAAGGGTTGGATTCTCCTCGTGCCAGCTGACAGCTGAGTAACCTAAATCAAAGGACAGAAGCTGTGAAAGATGCTGCACAAGGTCAGACAATATGAGAGCAGAGCCTGACAAGAGGCTAACTCACTAAAAATAAAAGGATTCCTTGCTAAAGACAACCTAGGAACAGAAATGCTAATCTGATAGCAAATACAGGCTGCCTGAATATACAAAGGAAGTGATTTACAAAGGAAGTGAATATACACATGAAGACAAAGGTCTAGTTTAAAACGAATAATGCTAATGAAGACCATTTACGTTACACTGCAAAACCCATGAGAAGAATCAGCACCCAGTAAGTAAATCAAAAACTAAGAAGTTCCACAAACAAGTTATAAACCTTCAGAGTAATAACTTCATCTGTTTGTGCCATATCTCTGGTTGGAATTTCCCCCCACTGGAAATAAATGGGAGGAAACCAGTACACGGCTTTTGCCGAAGGGTACTCAAACCTGCAAACAGAACGTTTCTGTGCTTTTCCTTTTTCTTGGTTACCTGAAAGCCAGTAACAAAAGTGAGAAGATGTCTGTGCATACACATGCATGCAAGCAATTCAGATTATTGACAAACAAAACAGTCAGGAAACTCAGTTAACTCTAAGGGAAACAGGTATTTTGTCTGTATTCCTAAGTTAAAGAATAGATATTGAGAGAATTATATGTATGAGCTTCTTCCATTTTGTTTTTGTAAAGGTGATCAAACTCCGACACGTAATTCTAGACAATGTTTGTCACTGATGGACTGGCTTTCTGAGGAAAGAGAGTATTGCTCAAGAGAGTTACTTTGATCTAATCTAGAACAGTTATTCACAGCCTCTCATTTGACTGGGGACATTTTGGAGACTGAAAAGCATCATCCTACGCTCAATATAGTAATATCATGTCTGGAACACAACGCATAAACTAACATATACCACGTGATAACCGTTGCCCTCAAAGTGGAGGGTACACACGTGTGTGCCCAAGGGTATTTTTATACATTCAATTCATAAATGCCTTCACTCGGAAAACTGTAACTAAAATAATACTCAGACACTCTGGATATTTACAGTAAAGACACATAAAATAATCCTTTATACACTTATGATTGCCTGCACACCCGTTCTTCGTTATGGGGAGCGCATCTGGGAGTTCGTTATGTTACAAATGGTGAATGCTACAGAAAGAAAGAAGATGACACTGAATTCTTCTCCACTGTAAATGTCTTGTTACTGACAATACAGCATGAACGATCCCTAGATTTGCTGAGCAGGAAGAGGTATGCTGCGGTCATCCAAATTCCAACATCTGGTACTTCCAAAACCAATCGAAAACCAAAACCCAGGAAACATGCAAAACCACAACGTGCACACTTGCGAGGACCTTTGGACCCAATGGCTCATTTCTATCAAATCTAAGAGGGAGACGGTCTCAGGTAACAGTGACAAGCACTTTGGCTAGCCCTTATTGGTCCTGTTTCCTCCTCACTCAAACATACGCTGAACTTGGAAGACAGAGTGTGATAAACGTAAGGGAGCTGAGGAGGAATTCCCTGTTACGTGGGAGAACTGCTGATGGCGATAATAGCTGCTAATGCAAGACATTACACACAATGTAGGAAGGTGAGGAACAGGGTGACATGAGTGAGGAAGGTTTCTGAATATACTTGTAAATTTGAAGCCATGTGGAGCTCTGAAACCTATTTATGGAGCATACAAGTGCCATGTGCTCCCCACAATGTGCACTTGTCCATATTTTAACATCAACCAGAGCTGCAGGCCCTGCTCCCGTGAGCATGCCACTGTGTTTGAAAGGCACTGAACCCCCTGGTCTGCCTCTAACTGCACTGCATTGTTTTAGCTTTAACCACACTGCCTTGTTTTGGCTTTAGCCACGCTCCTTTGTGTATGGCTTTAAGGTTTAACTGCCAAAATACCCAACTTTAATACCAAAATCTAGTTCAGAATTTACAATGTACCTCATGGTGGATTTTGGAACTGTAAATATCCCTAAACAACTGGATCTCTCCAAACCGAAACAGCACTTACCTGCTCCTGTTAAGTAACTCCTGCCTGGTGCTTATGATGAGTTGGACATAAAGACTGTTGGTTTACTCCAGCAGAAGCACAGTTAAAAAGGAGTATGACCAATGTGCATAAACAGACCCAGAGGCAAACACCTGAGAAGGGTAAGAACTAATGAAGCTCAAGGCCGATGCTGGCATAAGAATAAATGGTAAGAAATTGGCCGTGAAGAAATTCAGGTTAGAAATGAGGCAACCTGATGTTTTCAGATGAAAACTCACAAGAGGATGACCTGGGTGCTTGCAAGAACAAGGGCTTGAATTCAAGAGACCCAGGATGCCTTGTACTTCCAGTCACACATCCTAAAAACACAATATGTTTTAACACTCTTGCAATATATGTTAAATCCTGTTTCAAATCTGCTTATCAAAAAAAAATTATATAGGCTATCAATAATAACAGAAAAATGTGAATGAGTTTTCAAAGGTTCCCAAAATCCCCATGGATCCTCATTCAAGCTATCAAGACGATGAAGGCTCCTTTCCAGCAATAGGTAGGGCTAAGGTAGACCTGCGTAAACCCCATTACAGCAACAACTGTGGAAGATCCTTCCACTTCTTATCAATATTCTTATTCCTTCCCCTCAAAAATGAGGGGAAAAAGTGCAGCCGTGGCATCCCTCGCTATCACAGAACACAAATATCAAGCTTCTTATCTTTGATGCCTTCTGGAATTTAACTCTCCCTGCCACAGAAGCTCAAGAAAATCATTCAGAAGAATAAGAAAGGACATAGAGGATACAGCAATCAGACAACATCCCGGCCTGTTCACTGGCCTCTTTGCTGGCTTCGGTGAATTTTCCACAAGCATCTATTGACAACACACACAAATTTAGCAAGTACATTTGGAATATCCAAAGGTTCGCTTCATAGGGTGCTTTATACCCAGCTGTGAAACCAGCAACCTCTGCATTAGGGGCATTCACACGAGGCAGGTGAACCACTTCCCCCTTAGAATACACCAATTTGTACTTCTTAAGGTGTCATAAAAAAGCTGTTCTATTGTCAGCTGATCCTCTTTCAGACCAAGTTTTAGTCTCAGCTTTTACTAATTCTAATGAATGGATTTTTAGGCATTAAATAAAATGGCATTTTATTTTGGGTGCCTTTTGCAATACTCAGCTTCAACAGAATTGCCATTACAATTAATCCAACCTTTTTGCACTGTTTTGCATTATTTCACCTGAAAAGAACCCCAAATTTCCTTTCTTTCCCTTCTCCCCTTTTACTGATGGTTTAAAAACCCCCCACAAAACACATCCAATGCCCAAATAAGACTGCCCTTGCTAAATCGCCTTCTCTTCCCCTCAAAACTCCATTATTTAGCACATATGCAGCTCTTAAGCCATGAGCATCCAAGCAGTCCCACTGTAGGAAACCCTGGCAACAACATCACAAACATCCTCTTTCTGGACAAAAGCATGCTTAAATGTTGACAACAAAGAAAGAGGAGATGCTGACCACTGCCCAGACAGAGCTCTAAGGCTCTGGACAGTAAAACCAAAGTTTACCCTTACTGTTGCTTTCCTTTATTAAAAACGTTACATTATTTGCCAGGACAAAAGATGTTGTTCATCAGGTAGGCAGGGGTTTTTCAGCAAACAAAAATCCTTTTCGGTTTGAACTACTGCTCACACTACCATTCACTTTAGAGCCGGGAATCAATTATTTACAAGGTTCTAGTCTGCAGTTATTAAAAACGGCTCTGTGCTTTCAAAATCACTCTTTCCTGTCTTTCTTTCTGAAATAGAAAATACCTATTGCAACCAAGGTTTAACTGCAACCCATGGAGTGCACTCACTAGCGTGGTTTTTTTCTTTCCCCTCTATCCTATTGTTATTTCCCAATTGAGATTCTGTGGGTAGCAGAGTAACGACTATACTATTAAACACATATGTAATTGCATGTTGACATACGTACACATATTCCCCACTACATCCATATTTATTGACTGGAAATCTCTAAGTAATTAAAAGGGAAAATATGGGAAGCTTTTGCAGGGGGAAAGTGAACGTACTTACAGAAACTCCAAGGAAATTATCCTTGTGCTAATACAGTGCTATCACTGTTGAAGAAAACAGAGCAGATGTGATGACTCTATAAATATACACACTATTCTCCCAGAATTCAGGACACTGTGCAGCACTGCATTCTCATCCTGCCTCATTTAATACTCACAGACAGGCTGTAAGAAGGTTCCAGTATCACTGGCACTGACATCTTCCCTTGAAGATTCAATTTGGTTAAGTAAAAAACCTTTTCTCCCACAACCCTCTCCTTTTTCATGCGCCGTACGCTGTAGAGTCTGAAGCGAACCGCGTAATTCCCAATCATCTCTGACTCCACGTGATTGAATTTGAATGTCTCTGTGAAGACAGGGCACGGTCCCCGCTGGATGCTGGTTTTCGCTCTCTGCTTCTTTATAGGGAGAAGAACTAGGTGTACTTGCCACGAGCTTCCACCTGTCCTGCTGTAAGTGGGAATGTCTGTGACAGCTGTCACTGTCACCAAAAGCTTCTGTTCCTGTGAGTCATAGTCAAAAGTCACATCCAGTGTGCCGTACTTAGCTACTGGCTCAGGATCAAAAGGTTTAGGAAGCTGTGAAGACGATCCTCGAGCTGACATATCCTGGAGGAAGAAAAAAAAGAAAGCTATTTATTTATTTATTTATGGTATCCTATCATTAAATCTAGCGTGGAAATATATGGCTTTCCCTAAGCAATATGAAGGGACTAAAATCACCTTATTCCTTTCAGACGCTATGCACTTACACACCGAGAGGAGACAGCTGACCAGCAGCCAAGAAAAAATCAAAAGCCTTTACCTGGCCAATACTACCAAAAGCCAGGAGCCAATCAGACAGAGCTCAGATTAAACTGGGATCCCCTTCTGATCTCTTCGCTGTGCCCGACATCTTAAAATGCGTATACATTTGCTACAAGATAGAACTACCTCATTTCAGTGCCAGGATGCACACAGTTTGAAGTGAACATTATTATTAGAGTGGTTTAAGAGCTGACTAGTGACTTGAGAGCACAGTGAGACCCAGCAACAAATACAGAAATGCCAACACCTACTTGCACATGTAGCTCTTGTTGCACTCCACAAGCATCCTATGAATGTGCCAAAAGTTATCATGGTTTTCTTAACGTACTTTTACTGGAACTGTGCAAGATGCATGTGTCCTGAACACACCTCCTGAACCTTCTGCAAACAGCATCAGCCCTAAAGCTGCATTTCAAACTTAGAATGTTTATCGTCACTGCAAACTTCGAACAAAACATAGATGCCCTACACTGTCACAACAGGCGGTTTGATAGCAATACTGAAACACAAAATACCTACAAGTGCAGGTCAACCTACTGTCCATAAGCTATTCCAAGTATGTAAACCAAATGTATTTCTTGTGTATTATCAAAGGTACACTGGTTCATGTTGGACGAGGCCTTGGCTGACATGGTTTAGTATGAGGTGTTCCTGCCCATGGCAGGGGGCTTGGAACTTGTTGATCTTAAGGTCCTTTCCAACCCTAACTATTCTATGATTCTATGATTCTATGTACATTAATAGATATTGTAGTAAAACCTTCTGGATTTAAAAAGTCATGTTTTTCTTTTAAACCAATTGCTACACTGCCATTGGGATTTGGTCCTCTGAAAGCTTCATTCTTCAAGTTGTTGAGTGGCTATAAAAAAAAGCTGGCAGCGTTCTCAGCTCTTACTGAGTATGCCTACATTAATGTCTGGTGTGACCCAAAACGGGAAGAACTAGGATTAGATTTGCTGCAATCTGTTAGGGTTTGAGGACCATATGTACACACGCTTCTTCACCAGTAATGAAGATCATACAGATTCTGGTCCTAGCTCATCAGCAGGTACATACAGAGCGCTAGCTACTGGAGTAAGTTGCAGCTGCACCTTCCAGATGTTGCACCAACACCCCACATATGCAACATCAGCTTCCCAAGAGGTCTACTAAAATAGAAACGAGTGCTGACACATCAGGACTGAGCCCTAATATGCACTTCAAAGCTTCAGATAGAGGCAAAAGACAAATGTGTACCAAAAAGAGCCTCTTCTGCACATGACGTCCCTAACGTAGCCTTACCATTGGTATCAGCGCAGAAACTGGCTGTTAAAAGACTTTTCAAGGAAGTGCATGTCAGAAAATATGATTTCCTCATAGTAAAAATAAATGGGTATCTTTACAGTTCATAGCAGAGAAAAGGAAAATTAAGTGGACCAAATCTCTATACTACCATTAACAAATTAAAAGAAGTCTTTGTAACGCTTCCTTCCCTCCCGCAAAAGATGTTTTATGTTATGGGGTGTTCAGTTTGAAAGGTGTGAACAGCCTATTTTGGTTGGGGTTTTTTTATTTGGCGATTTGAAAAATCCTGTGGAAGAAGAATTCTGACTACAGTCATTAGAGTGCGATGAAGTTTTCTGCCATACAGAAAACTATAAAGAACAAGCTGAAATCCTATTTAATAATATCCAACAAACTAAACGAATGAGGTGCAATATCAGTGTTTGTTTAACTGTGCCGTCATCTTTAGATAACAAAAGAGCTCTGCAAAGGTTGCATTGCATGACGCTTCAGAACACTCAGCTGGTTTTATTTACCTCTGGACTAAGGACAGCTGTGCTATCACTTGGTACATCCTCTTCATACCCTTTGTTATGAAAGCTTTCTATTTCGTGTCCCGTGCTTCCCTCACTTGGGCACTTGTACGAACATCTTGGACTGTTGCTGCACTGGGAGAATTCACATTTACTGTCTCCGACTTCCGAAGGCGTACACGAAAGATGAGGAGAACCACTATCATCCTGGTACGGAGGCGGCTGCAGTTCATCCAGGGGAGGTGTTCTTCTCATCCTCTGAATGCAGTTTGCTGAGAAGAAACGAAGATTCTTTACTTACTTTCTGATCATTTACTGGTGAAACACGTCTGTGGAAAATGGTCACTGTAAATAGCTGGAGAGAGTGGTTAAAAAACTAGAAATGTCCTTTTTTTCTTTTTACTTTACATTTCAAATGAGATAAAAAATACTACTGAAATATTTGTTAAGATGGAAATGAATGATCTCGCAGATGAAAGAGATGCAGATAAAAGCCAAGTACATGGATACAGTGGATTTTGCAAAGCAGACATAAATAAATATAGCACAAATATGACATGACAAAAATTCTAGGCTTGAATTTCAGGGATGCTTACCTTGCAAAAACCTGTGGGTCTCTTAAGTCAGACTCCTTGCAGGGGGAATGTAGACCAATTAAGGACACAAAATGCACTCCCTAAGGCCATGATATCAAACTTCTGACTACCTCCCATGCAGTTGCTCACCCAGGGAGATATTAAACTCTGAAGACAGATAAGGTGCCAACAAAGGCAGACACAAGCATTTTTACGCAAGTGAACTCTGCTCACTGGTGAATTTAACAAGTGAAGCAACGTCTCAGATTCTCTATTACTTGTTAGGGACAGCTAAAGGGTATGCATGTATCTGGTGTCTAGAAGTCAGACACTAGATCCAGTCACTAAAGACACTGGAAAAGGGATCATGAGCAACCTTGTGCTTGGGATGAATACCTGATGCTGACCATGTCTGCTCCTCACTAAACAGATAGAAACGTGGTTATACATCTCAGAAAATAAACCTGATGCATGGCTATAGATATGGAAAGTTAATTCAAGATAATTACATTTCTATTTTTGATGTCATATTGTGCTAGGCAGCATTATTATGATCTCATATTGTGCTATGCAGCAATACACAGCTGCTAGACCTGGGAGGAGACAGCAAGGCATGCAGTAGTTGAAATGAAAGGAATACCAAGAACAGGTAAAAACCTGTATCCCATTTTGTGTACACCTTCTGTAAACATTTAAATGAAGATTTCAATGCCCCTCACGCACACCATTACCTTACACACACAAGTTTCAAAGCACCAATGTTTTCTGGTGTCAGACACATCACTTTCACCCACAGAAAAATCTGCCAAACAAGGAAGTTAACAGAAGTATCGACATCAGAACAATATAAACTTTGATTTCAGACTCAGATGAGAATGGAAAAGATCTTGTTTCCCACAAGAAAAAGGTGGCACATTTTAGCTTCATCATCGTTTTTTCTGTATATAGGATTGCCCTGTCTAAGTCCTATATTCTCACCAAGGAAATAAACCTTTTGAATGCTTCAGAGGCAACTGCCAATTGTTCAACCTGTCACATAAACAGAGTATGCTTAAGAGCTACTCTTTATGGAACAAGGCTGGAAAGGCAGTAGTGTGGCTCTCCTGAGAAACAGTTTCAGGCTCCCTTTTGTTCTCCTTTCCTTTAGAAGTCTGAGCTGTATCCAACTGTGGATATACTGGAACATTTCACACCAACTGGGATGATGGAAACCCAAACCGCTGTTGTTTCACTGCGTACTGTCCTTGGGAAGGAAACCCAGCTACAGTGGCTAGAAGGGAGCCAATGTGCACTGCAGATCCCCAGGGCTGGGCAACCGAAGGACAGTTTATTATGAAGCATATCTACTGCATGGATAAAAATATAACTAGGGAATGCAGGGCTTTTTTCTCTTTCACTGGGCTCCTAATGGAACCCCTCTTAGCTTTAGTTAAGGCAAATCAGTAATGAAAACACTCTTACAGATGATGCTGCTGTCAAGAATCCTCTCTTCTTTGATAAACCCATCAGAGCCAGCCTGCCATTTAGAGCGAGTCCAAATTACTGTTACAGTGCACCTGTAAAAGGTCTTCTGCTGACAGTTAGCCCAGTGCCACTAACACTTGAAACTCCAGTTCCAAGGGCTGGAAAGGAAAACAGAGCAGGCAGGGGATCCTATACTTGAAACACAGTCATCAGTCTAGCAGATACACACAAAACCTTATATACGAAATAGAGTGAAATGGGGCAGTCAGCATCTTGAAATCGCCAGGCAGCAATAGTGAGAAAGCTTTATTTACAGACATAGATGGGAAAGCACTTGGGTTTGGGGTTTTTGCTGAGGCTTTGTTGTTAGTTTTTCGTATTAGGTAACTTGTGCCTATGAAACTAGGTAGACAAAGTTTTAGAATCTAACCTGCTACTTTAATCGTAGTAATCTCCTTTGACTCTCTATACCGTGAAAACAGGACTTCCTTTTTGTGATTTCTATAATGAAATACTCCAGCAAACTTGGAGCAACAACATTTCTGCTAGTTGGAACCTAAAAGGCAACAAACAGCATTAAATGAGACTGTAACTCCCATGTAGTAGCTATGTAGTTTCTTTCTTTTCACCTGCAGTCAAGCCTGCAAAGACTTTTAAACTCCCAGCTTTTTGTACAATCTAATGCAATGAAAGCACGTCTGGGTAACTATCAACACCATTATTGTCTTACAGGAGTAAATAAGTGATGGTGTGACTCACTTTTTTCACTTTGATGAACTCCATTATACATCCCTATGGGAAAACAGCACAGGCTGTGTGGCAGAAAAGGTACTTTTAATGTAGGTGGGAGAAAAGTGAAGGAAATTCTTATTTACCAGCTATGATTTCAGAGTCTCAGAACAAACTGAAACACTGGGGCAGGGTTCAGCTATTTCGTTTGGAAAGTTTCATTTACCAAACAAATCAGGTAAACTCTTCAACCAAACAGCCCGGTTTATCAAGCTAAGGACACCCCTGCCTAAACAGGTAGAAAATGGTTTTGCACACCATTTACGTAAGAAGTTACCAAATCTGAATGTATAAAAATACACAACCACTGCTAATGCATGCTGGCCTAAGGGCCTGTATTGGAGAAAAACGCTTGGAGCTGAAAGGAAAGCATGTTCTGAAGTGTTGGCATGTCTATGTGTATTACCACTGCCTCTAACATACCTTGCACCATTCATTTAAGGTGCAAACTTAGACACAACTACACTTGCACGTACCCGCACACTGACAAAGCCAAAGAACACACTCCAAAGACCACTGAATGTGCTAATAACAACTGCTATCTAGCAAATGGTTACAGTGAAAACTAAAAGGAATTGTTGCATCGTTCCTATGCAGGTTTCCCAAGCAACTTTCCACTCGCAAACCAGAGAGAAATACTTTTTGACTATTCCCCCAGTTCAATTAATTGTATTAAATTACCATCCCCATTCGGACTAGACAAAACCAAGCCTGGAAGTAGTCATCACAGGGAAACCAAACTGGGTTTAGTCTGAGGTTCCTCCCAGCCAGCAAATACCAGAACACAGGAAAGCCAAATTAGAAAGAAAGATCCCACGTTCAGTTTTCTACCCAAAGTATGGGAAATGCCTTTGTATTCTCATAATGGATTGTTATTAAATTAAGTTGTTTAGCAACAGGTATTTAATAAACTCTAAACTGAGAATCCAGTGTATTACTGTCAAGAGGCAGATTTGAATACTCAGTCTTTTAAGGGTTAAGTGCTTTAGTTAAGATTTTCACCCTTCTTTAGTGGGCAACAGTAAAGTCCTTGCTGAAGAAACCGGAACTATAAGTGAAATAATACCAGACAAACACAAGCAGATTAGCACCTTGCTGGTATGCTCAGAAATTACAGCGTGTCAACTGTCATTAGCACATTTAAGTCACAAGTAAATAAATACCTTCTCTTCACTGCTGCTTGTTAAACAATGAAGGTTAATCTGTTTTCCCAAGTCCCTGCACTGATTGAAAGCCCAGGGGAGGTGACACACATCTTGCCATCAACCTCAGGGGACTGTCAGCGAGATCTGACATAGCAACCTAGGCCAAAACATGCATTGCTGGAACATACAATTGGTAAGTATGAAGGAAAACACACTAACTTTTCCAGGCATTTTTCTGAATGGAATCACAGTTAAAGACAGGCTGAGAACATTGGTGCTGTTCAGCCTGGAGAGGAGAAGCTGCGTGGAGACCTCGGAGCAGCTTCCAGTGTCTGAAGGATGCTACAAGGATGCTGGAGAGGGACTTTTCATCAGGGACTGCAGCCACAGGACAAGGGGTGATGGGTTCAGACTGAAACAGGGCAAGTTCAGGTTAGGTCTAAGGCAGAAGTGCCCAGAGAAGCTGTGGCTGCCCCATCCCTGGCAGTGTCCAAGGCCAGGTTGGACAGAGCCTTCAGGGGCATGGTCTGGAGTGAGGTGTCCCTGCCTGTGGCAGGAGGTCAGAACTGGATGACCTTAAGATCCTTTCCAACCCAATCATTCCATGATTCTATCTGAACTTTCTGCTTCCAATGCTCCTCCTTTCCCCTCTCCATCCTGGTCCCCTGAGGACCACACTAGCTAGGCTATACCACATTCCACCATGAAGCTGGTAATGTTCCTTTCCACATGTACAACATTTAGACTTCGCTATTTTAACTGATTTTCCCAAAGGTTTTCAGCAGCACAAACCAAGCTTTCTTTAGCCTGTATTTCCTTAGTCATTGCAAGAACCTCCATCTCAACGTATGGGAAAATAAAGTATGCTTTTAGTTTTAATTCCCCTCTCTCAGCAGCAGTAATTAACAACACTTTTGCAAATTGGAGTTTCATATATATATATATATATAGCTTCTTTAAACATTCATACTATTGTGGGAGGCAACAAAAGTTCTTTGGCAATCTGGTTTCCCGGTCCTTTAAAACAAATAATCACTATATAAATTAATCATTTTAGCAAGCCCTACTTTGTAGTTATCAGAGTATCTTCATAGTCCAACAGCACCTTTTCGTCCTCTAATAGATCTCCACATACACTAATGCTTCCTTATTATTTCTTTTTTAGACCTAATGCAAACTTGGAGCTGTCGAGCCTTCAAGGGGCTCTCTATAAATGTTAAAGACAAGTTAAATAAAACAGAAAATGAAAACATGTTTAAAAATTAAAGAAACCTTTCTGGTTCTGAATGATTAAATACC